AAAACCCAATAGGAGGTAGTCTCACTCGCTCGTTTGTTTTTGGGCTTCCCTGCTCGAAAGGAAAGGCTGTTTGCTATTTAAAATGACAGCGGTGATCTGCTCCCCGACTTCAGTTGATGCTCTTTTCTCTCAAGCTATCGCTGCAGAACAAGTGAACTAAAATAACAGGCTAATTAAATGATTATCGCTTTGACACATTCTCCTCATCTGCGAAAGAGCTACCTGCACCCTCCTGTGTGAGGATGAGACCTCCTAAAATTCCCCATTCTGATATACTGGAGGTGCACATCAAGCCCAATCGTATAAACCCTTTGCCCACAACCTTTCGAACTTCTCTTTGCCTTGTTTGTTGTTTAAAGCCTGCTGAAGCTGAAAGCCAGCCTGGGCCCTGGTATGGGCTTGCTCCCCGCTCCAGCTTCCCTGTTTGGTAAGTCGTTTTGCTGTGGCGCTGTAGGAAGATGTTGCCTGCTAATAAATATTAATATGCCCCATCCCCTGCCAGCATAGTGCTTTGCACCTGCAGCACATTTGCCATCAGGGCATCCTGCTCCAATTCCAAAGCAAGCAGCCGTTAACATTTGAATGCAGAGTATATGCTGTGTATCAATTACTTATTCTAATCGGAGATTACTGCCTCCATAGTCATCTGATGAAAGCCATAGCAGAGATCTTGCAGATCGGCTTGTGATAATGGCTGTTGAACAACCGGATGTAGAACACAATTATTGTTCTCTCCTCTCCACCCATTTCTCTGCATATATTTCTTTGTGTGTTTGCTTTGCGTTTTATGAGCTGCTTTTCTATTCAAAAGGGCTCTCAAAATGTTTCAAAAAGCAATCAAATTAGCAAAATAAAGAGCTGGCTTTTAATATTTGTTAGTTGTAAACACCATCGTTTCCATGTGGCGATGTTTTTGAGACTGCCAGTTGTTGTTTAATATGAAATACGGAAGCAACTGAACAAAGAGGAATTAAATCAACAGCAAAAGTCAGCAGCCTGAATCCAAACAAAATATCCTGTGGAGGTCTATGAAAGCCTATCAAATTGAGAGTCTTTGCTAAACACCTGAAGATGAGCAAGAGAGAGACCAGACAAGCCTCTGAACAAGGGGAACACCATTGTCTGAGTGCTGCAGTGGAGGAAGCTCCAGTTTGGTAGTGGTGGGATGTACGTAAAGCTCAGCCTCTGCTGAAGGCCAGAGCAGAGCAGGCAGATTCTACCAGCTACTCCACCAGCAGCTCCAAACCCACCATCACTGCTATTTGAGGCTCTTTTGCACAGAAGGCACCTCAGTTTAGCAACGAACTTGGAGTGACAAGATGAAGAGAGTCCTTGCTCAGGGTGGAGCAATTATGTGAGCCAGTGAGCAGTTTCCTGGCAGGCAGGATGGTGCGGGCTCTGTGCCCAGGGCTAACAGGACTTGCCTCAGTGTAGCCATGCTTAAATGCCCACAAGTGTGTTGCTGCTGTCGTCATGGCACATACACACATACGCACATCCAGCCTCCAGCTGAGTCCTGGAGTGCAATTAACTTAAGAACATAAGAAGAGACCTGCTGGATCAGGACTGCTGGCCTGTGGAAGCGCACTGCCCATGACACTGGCGATAGCTTCGGCAAGGGGCGGCATAGAAATGTTCTAATAGATAGATAGATAGATAGATAGATAGATAGATAGATAGATAGATA